GCATAATCTTCTAATTGTATTTAAAAAGGTTTTATAATAATTATAGAGAGTGGGTAGCTCAGTGGTAGGGTACTGAGTTTCCAATGCTAAAAGTCCCAGGATCGAATCCCAGCTCATGGCAGAAAAATTATTTATTCTGTTACATTGGCCGTGAGCAACCCTGTGTAGGTATACCCTCATGTGGCAAACCCAGCCTCTATAAAGTGGGTACCCTTAATTAAAATAATTGATTAAGGAAAAAAACGTTGAGCGTGATCTCGGTCAAATCACCTCCTTGCAAAACCATAGATCAAGAAACTGTAATTTCCCTAAATAGTACTGAACCCAAAACCCTTCATGGGTTGTTGTGGTGCAGGTTTTTTTTTTTTATCTGATTGTACTGTCGATTTCGCCATAAAGTCGACCTAAAAATTTATTTTTATTCTTATCTAGATTAGAATCAAGTAATTAATTCTAGCCCAATTACTGTTTATTCCCATTTAAAGTATTTTTTTTTTTAGAACTTGAATAAATAAACTTTAAACCTATACAATATACGTAGAACTTTATTAGAGCGAAATCCGTTAAATCGAATTCCGTAGAACTTGTATTCGCAAAAAAAAAGTTTACAGAAACTTTTAAAATGAAAGTTTTTATAAAGGACATTAAAGTTTCAATCCTTGGTTAATAGGTTTGAAGGGCTTGGCCAAGAGATTACTTGACTAATTCACCGCTCTTACTCTCAGTAGCTAGTGTACTGTCACTAAATATTGTATATACACTGTCGTAAGTCATAAATATTATTTATTTTGATGCACGGAGATATTATGAAAGTGGGGGAGATAGGCGTGGAAGGGTACATTATGATGATAATGCGAAGTAGACCAGCGGAGCTAGGAAGGAGGGCGATAAATTCTAATTCAGGCAATCGATTGGGACGCTCCTGCCCCGGTTGCCCACTTCCTCGCCTCCTCTCTGCCTCCTAGCACAGCCTCTTCTGTCCTTCCAGGGTGCTTTGTGCCATCAAGTCAATACCGTCCAGAAGTCTTCTACTGGAAGAGAAGAAACAATCAGGGAACTTAATGAAAAATAAGTAAGAAATCCGGGAATAATAAAGAAATATTAAACAACTCAGTAATGATTACTTTGGTAATAACTAAAGAGGCAATCCACTCTTTTTCGGCTCTCAGGAGCTAAGGATTATGGTGAATGAAACGAAAGGGAATTACATGGGGGAAGTAGCAAATCCTAATTTCTACAACTTTATTACAACCACAGCATTCATGGAGAAAAATGAGAGGTTTCAAAACTTCGGAACTCTAACCTGTATTTTAAATTCTGAAACTGACAAATTCAGGTATTTCAGTCAAAATTTCTTTAATGAGTTAGTGTTTCGACCCAAACATGTACCTCATCAGGGGTATCTTTTGGAAGTCGAGACAAGAACTCAACCAGTTCTATAGATATAGAGAGTAGAGATATTTCCAGTGAGATAAGGCAATCTCTTATTTAGTAAACTGTTACTTTAACAGTCGTCACCAGCTGTCTGAATTGAATAGACCGTCTCGATAATATTATATTGTATATTTGAATAAACATGTCCCGATGATTTGTATTATACGTCAAATAATTAATAATTCCTATTATTATGGACTTGTCGAAAGTCCATAAGCTGCTACGGTTGTCATGGGATTATTTTCACAAGTTTAGGTTTTAAAAATTTGAATATTCCTATTCATGATAGTTTGCAAAGACCTAAAAGTTTATTGAAAAGGTGAATAGAGGAGAATAAATCAATGGATCCCCTGAGCATTTCAGACAAAAAAAAATAAACTTTTTAATGACTGTGAGTAAATGGTTGACTGTCGTGAATAATGAAGAGACGAATAGTTGGGGTGATCAGTCAAATAAGAAGGCAACAATAAATGATAATATTTATTTTGGCATTTGCCGACGGTTCGACCTGAAGTTCAGGCCTTCATCAGGGCTGTCTCCAAAAAGGTTGATGGAGTAGTTGCTCCATTTTTGGTCGATCACAATGTTTCATTATTGAAAATAATAAACCAATATCAAAATTAGGCTTCAATACTCTCAGTAATAAATGTTTTGCTGTTGCCGCTTAATACGTTCAATGCTTTTCGAAAACTTTCTGCTAATATAAAGAACAAAACATAAAAAGGAACGGAAAATCAGTCCATCCTTTTAAGTGATAATCTTAGCACAGATACACGATCTTAAACAAGACCAATGGCTGAAAATACGTTGTTTTTTTTAATTCTAAAAATAAAAATGCATTGAAACCTCGAGGATAGAAATTTCGTAGAAAGCTGGCTAGGTCACAATACGTAGACAAAGAGGTAAGAAGTCTGGGAAAGTGTCGTTATTGTCATCTTATAAATATTTCTTTTAATGGGATATATATATATATATATATATATATATATATATATATATATATATATATATATATATATTCTTTCAAACGAAGTATGTATATAAATAAAATATATCGCAAAATGGTCACGATGTCAATACACACTAATTTCTTATCTCATCTTTGTATATTCATATTTAAAATACCTACATTTTATTAGTAACTACCATTTTTCTTAAGAAATGAAAATACCAGAAAAATAATAGTTAGCATTTTATATTATTTTGAAAACTCATTTAAGAAGTACCAATCATCACACCCTCCATATTTTCCCCTTACGCGTAAGGCGATGAAAGCGCGATAGACATTATGTTCAGTGACTTCGAAGTTTCAAAGGATTCAGAAACTTTCTCGATTACAATACCTCCTCGTCTTCTTCGAGTTCCGAAGGAAAACAAATCTGTAAGAAGTTTAATATCGCTTTGAGAGGTATAGACCTAAACTTTTATGTTTAACATTGTTTTCTTCGTTCAATCTTTTTTTTTATTTTAATATTAAAATTCTACATACTGACCTCCACCTTCCAACAGTTGACCAACATATAACGACCCATTACCAACAATTTTACACTAATTTAAACGGACACCACAACAGATTAATAAAAGACATGGCCACAGCTGATATTACCCCAGAACATGAGGAGAAGACTAAAAAGGTTGGATGAGAGATCTCCTGCCTTATACAATTTAAGTAATTGAAACAAGTTAGGGGAGGTGCTGCTGAGTACTTTCCTTCTCTATGCCTGACATATCATTTGTTTCTTTTATTTCGAGCACATTTGCTGATTGTTGACAAAGTTGACAGCCACAAATAAATTGTTTAATGCCAAAAAAAAAAATATTTTCTTTTAAAAAGTAAAGATAAAAATCGTCAAAGGAGATCCCGATTCACGTGTTGCATTTTGAATCAGTTCATGAGGGGATGGACGTCTGAAGCTAAAATAATATTGCTATGTATTATATTACTTGGTGGGGCAGCATGTCTCACTATAAATATTAATTAATGTAAACAAATAATCATTGAGTGTTAATTAATATTATCGTGTACTGTTAGTTAACCTTCATAACAGATAAAACAAACAGCCATTGTCTCAACACTCGCGATTACCTTGCGAACCCATTATGTAAATTGTGTTGAGAATGTGAAGATTCTATGGTTATTGTCCGCCTGTTGTTTTAACTGTAACATCAGTGTGAACTGTTACAAAAAAATATGGGCTGTTTTACATAAATATTGGCCAAAATATATACTTTTTTATTTATTTTTAATTAAATTAACCTAAATACAACAATGGTTTCAATGGTTAAATCAGAAATAAAATTTGAACATGTAAACGATCTTATCCACTTTAAAATTCATTTATCACCACCATAGGTTGAATTAAATAAGAGTTCCTTCTCCTCTTCTAGAGTTTTACTTTCTCCTATTTTTTTCGGTCATGTCATTGTCTAGGAGCATTGTGGTTTAATGTAACTGTTTTTGTCTTCAGCTGTTCAAACGCTCACTTCCGTTTGGTATTTGTTTTATGCCTTTTTATTTCATTTCTTTTCTATAAGTGTATAAAACATCTGCCCTTTGCAGAACGATGTAAGAATATCTTTTACTAAATCTTGTTTATAAGGAAATAAATGAGCTTCTAATTGAGGTTCTCTCGTCTAGCAATTTTTTATTTTTCTGAATATGTTTTTCGATAACTGTGTCTTAGTATTTGTTCGTAAACTATAGGTAAATGAAATTATATGAGCAGCGGTAGTACTTTTAATAGGGTGATTTCGAAAAAAAAATATTGTCTATTTTTGATTCAGCTATCTTTAATTCATCCAAACTCTTGGTTTTAGCTCCCCCGTGTATTTTAATCTGAATTCCGTAAGGCTTTCAGTGTAAACGTTCATTCGTTATTACATTTCAAAAGTCAGAAATGTAAAGAGAAAGGAATACAAGAATCCTTAGCCTCTAGTTTGGACAGCGTTGTTTTGATGCAGGATCCTGTTGGCTCTGGGTCTTAAATTAGGAGGAGTTTTATTTCTCTCTGCAATAAAATGTTTCCTTGGTAAACAAGCAATGTTTTTCAAGTTGATTTATACGGGTTTTAAATTATTTTATGATCTTGAAAATATAATTAAACTAATTAAAATTAAAGAGTGGTTAGACACTACTCCAAGAGACAAGTTCTAGCGAACAAGTTATCGCCCTATAAATGATTGGAGTAGTAAGAAGGTTCACACTGAAAAAATATTAAATCCTGTAAAAAAGGATCTTTGGAATAATTATTTTATTTTTTATATTTTTAAAGCAATGGTATTTTTATATATATTTTTTTTCAATATACGTCTTCCTTCGGCAATTCCAGGATATCCACATCTGATCCCAAAACAAAACACGGTACCAATCAAATATTCCTCAAGAACCATTTTACCAAAAATAAAAGTTAATAGATTTAGTTAATTAACAATGATATGTCCATATTGTTACAGATTGTTCTACAGGTGAAGAACATCATGTCCATTTTTGTATTTGTGCAGGGAAACCTACTTTCCATAACCTTGAGCTATTAAAATTGGTTTCTTAGTTACTACATATGAACCCAGGTGGTAAAGGCCATCATGTCACAGTTTTGTACTTGATCTAGGAGCCAATTTTCCAAAAATTTGCGCTTTTATTTTATTATTATTATTCATTTATTTATTATTGCGCAAAAGATTTATTTCTTAGTTACTAAACTATGTAATAATAAAATGGACATGGCGTTCTTTACTTCCGGGGCATAGATTACTCTGATAAATATGTTTCAACGATATTGAATTATAAAAAAATATAGATCATAATTAATGACATGCACAAACTAAGTGCTGAGAAACGGAGGACGGCTTAATATTAGGGGGTAGGTGATAAAGTGGGCTAAGCCAAAAAACGTTACCGACTTCAGAAAAAATTATGTGAAGGGTCCAAACAGAAGAGGCTGAGAGAATTTTTTCTTTTAAAGTGTTTCTTGTGAAAGCTACAGACCTGCCTTAATTTATTAAGGGATAAGAAAGACAAGAAAAAAAAACAATTTATTACGAATTTATGTCATATACTTGGTCTTCAGTTTAAAGTTCGTATTATGACCGGCCCATGGATTCTCGTTCAGAAGAAAAATATATTCCTACTTGACAATACAAAAGTAGAAAGGTGAGTATAAACTATGAGCATTCAATTTTACCTTTTTAAATATATATATACATATTATATTTTGACATGGTGGTGTGGAAATGGTTGACTATAGATCGAATAGTACAGGTTGGTTGAGAGTGATGTCATAAATGAAATTACACACAAATCAAAAGCTTCATATTATTTCGTGCTAACGTTTCGGTCTTAGTTTTAAAGCTTCATCAGAAGTAAGATGACAACCGATTAAAAAAAAAAAAAAACACTATAACAAGAAAACAAGAAGATAAAAAAATTATTAAAATTTAGACTACAAAAACGTTAATAATAAACTAAATATGCATTTGTAAATATTGAAAAACAAAATTAAATATATTGATTTATCTTGCCTTATCATAATTTACCATTCAACTTTCATTACTTAATTTTATTTTTCATTGTTTGCACATTCATATTTGATTTATCATTAAAATGTTCATACTTTTTTTTATCTCCTTATTTTCTTGTTATAAAATATATGGTTAGCTGCAAAAATGGCGATATTACTGGTGATATCGATATAGATAGTAATATGTTTGAATAGGTAGAGAAGTTAAGGGTCTACGATAACTAGAAAAAACGAAATTGAAGAAGAGATTAAGGTTAGGCTGAAGGCAGGAAATGCTTGTTATTTTTCTTTTACAAAATTACTTAGCTCGCGCCTCTTGTCTCAGAGTTAGAAACTATAAAACCATTATTTTACCTACAGTTCTTTATGGATGCGAAATGTGGCCGCTTACATTAAGGGATGAGCAACTTCTTAAGGTTTTTGAAAATAAAGTATTGCGTAGAATATTCGGACATTGATAAACATTGAGTAATATTAATGATAGGTAAATAATGATGGAATTCGACAATATATACAATTTTGAAAATAGTCATTTAATTAATCATCATTTGCTAACGGAATTGTTTATTAAGTAATGCACTTGTATATCATATGATTTTATTATACATTTTTAAAGAGATTTTTTAATGTAAAATAGGTTATCTAAATTTAGTAATTTGATTATGAAAACGTTTTATCGCTAATAGTTTAACGAACTATTCCAGCCATCTTCCTTTGATCCGAGTAGCAGATGCCTGGATGGACCCCTTTGTAAATATCCACTACTCAACCAGGTGATGGTGTATAACGGTTAAGCGGTTGATGATGGCACTCTCAAATGTTTTAAGCTTTATGAACTAACTTTATTTTATTTTTTATTACTTCTTTTATCAACATAATAATCATTATAAACATGAGTTCTTTGGGGGTATATTTTTTCACCGGTAATTTCTTATATATAAAGTATTCGTTTTATAAAGTTTGTGTGACACTTGAACAGAGATGTTCGGTTGACAGCCATATGCCCTTCTTCACAACCTCACTTTCTTATTTCTAGACAGAAAACACGCTCTTAATTGAGTATGACAAACATATAAAGGATATCTGAAAAACTTGGTTTTGAATGAATCATTCCCTGGTTGGAACCGTGACTATAAATAGAGAACCGGTCCCTACGTTACGATTCCAAACGGATCAAACTTATCAAAACCAGGATTCTGAAGTCTCATACTTAAGTACTAGAACCAAACTGTTTCAAAAGGAAACCGTACATAGAAGATTCACTGAAATGCAAGTGGTGTATTTCTCGTTTCAAGTTTTTAATATGTACAGTAATAAATAGAGAGGAGAGCAGTGATATGTATTACAATACTGCAAGAAAACAACACGCAGGAAAAATGGTCTAGTATATCTTCTAGGTGTATCATGCAACTGACATCAGGCGCAACTTCTATCGACTCTATTTGTGTTTATTATCTATTATCATGAAGTAACTTTTAAAATTTAGGCGTTACGATAGACGGCGTTTTCGTCTCCTTTTAATCTAATAACAGCTTTTTGTGAAAATGTATGGTTACATATTGTAAATTCAACGCGTATTTTTAAGAAAATAAGCCACTGATTCGTAGATATAATTTCACCAAGCACAATTTATTGTGCTGCGAAAACTTCTGACTCAGAATTTATTTTTGTTATTTATTTTATTTTGCCTCTACCCCTAAGAGTCATCGGCATATCATTTCAATTTTATATTCCGTGATGAAAATCCATTTCTTTTAAATAATTTTACAGTTTTTCTATTTCTGCTTTCTAATCCTGGAGGATTTCTTCTATTTTCGTTCCCTTTTGTAGGTTTTCCCTTTGAGCTGTGTAGCTACTACTTTCTAAAAGTATATTTTTAACAATTCTGGTTACTCGGCAGTGGGTGCAAATTGGGTCTTCTAGTCCTTTGTTACTTGTATGTTTATTTATTATTAAGTTATACTTGAAAAAAATTCCAACAAAACAGCCTCATGTCTCTAAAATGAAGGTAGAGAATAAACAAACCCGTCAGCGTTTCGCCAATCATCATGACAGAAAAGAAAACAAATTGAAGATCACACAATTATATGTGACTCTATCTAACATCCAACTCCATACTTTGGCATATACATGCTTGTTTAAGGCACTGTAAGAAGGCTGTGTGGTTAGAATTATTCCATTTATAACTTAACATTGAATTTCTGTCTCTTGTTGAGTTTTTGCTGATTTATATTAATTTCTTTATTACATTTTTATTATTTTCAACACGCATAACCGAGATACCAGAAAGCAGCGATATTTCACTTTTGTGTTTCTTGAGTCGTAATAATTGTATTTATTTCTTTTCTCTCAGTTCATAAAATGTTTCTTTGTCAGATTCAATGCGAAAAATAATTTTTTACAGAGATGAAATGTCTGAAATTGACGAGATAATGTTGCTTATAAATGTTGATATCTTATCGACTTGTTTTTCATTGTAACTCAATATGGTTATAGTGTATTATAATGCTTAGATCGTACAATAATTATGTTTCGTGCTGCAGTCATTGTATTATGTGCATTATGTGCATTATGTAAACTATGTATTATACAGAAATTAGGCCTATTGTAATTGTCATCAAGGAAGTTATGATTTTCTTTTTCTTGATCGGTCTGATTGTATATACAATGAGATTTATTTGCACTAGCCAACTAGTTCCGTATAATTAACATTGAATAGATAGTACAATACTTTTTTTATTTAAAAATTAGTCTTTTATGACGTGGGCTAGAAAATTTAGGAGACATTGAAGATAGGGATCGGACTGAGAAGGATAAAAGAGCGACTAATCAGGCTAATGCCGGAGGGAGCGCACGCGATGGTGGGACGGCTCAGCGACCGCCCTGATGGTCGTTGTGAAAACCGCATCCTTCCTCAGTCAAGGCTTGATTGCTTCTATTTCCGATGGGTCAACGCTTCCTTTATCAGCATCAGGGTCTCGACAAATTACGGCTCTCTGGTAAAAGAAAACAACAGAAGGAGGAAGTGCTTAAGCTGTAGAAAGTGGCGGAAAGGTATAGTGAAGGAACTTTTCTTTCTGAGGGGTATTCCGAGGAGGCTTGCCCATTCCCCTCAAGGTCAATGGAGCGTGTTCCTCTCCCAAGAAATTTTATTCCTCTCATCTTCTTAAAAACAGTGCAAGCGAAAGTAAAATCAGAAAAATCGACATAAAGATGACGTGGGGCCCTCGTGTTAAAAAAAGAAACGTAAGACACTTAACAAACGATTCTACCCTCTTTTGGCTAAATTTTCGAAACTAAAAGTAAGACAGAAACTTAATACATAAACATACTTACTTAAACTCATATCGACATACTCATCACACATAAACGGTATCGCTAAAAATACCCACCTATAAAAACTTCAAACCTTCCAATTAAAATTATTTCGACTCATAACAAAAGTACCATGGTACGTGACTAACGAAACTGACATCCACCTTCCAACAGTTGACGACCCTTTGCCAACGCTTTTACACTAATTTATACGGGCATAATAACAGATTAATGAGAGAGATGAGAGAGATCTCTCTCCTTAAACAACCTAAATAATTGAAACAAGTTAGGGAAGAGGTACTGCTGAGTACTGTTCATCCCCATGCCTGTCATGTCATTATCTCCTGCACATTTGCTGATTTTCGACAAAAAGTTGACAGGCGCAAATACATTTTTTATAGCCAAAAAAAAAAAAAATTCTAGGTATCAGATACGATGAATTTTATTGAATGAGGTATTAATCGAAAGGGGATTTCTTGTAAAAGTGACGAATGGCAACTTCAAAACTTAAAATCTTATGACAATTACAATACAGTATTGTGTGTATAATGTATACATTAATAAAATTGAAAGGTTTCAAATTCAGATGGTTTCAAAAGTCTACGAACCTAGACGGCATAAATAACGTTTTAAAGATTTCGAAGCAGTCATCATGACCCAAGGAATTATATCGGCCTCGGTTTTCGAGATAAGTTGTAATTCTTGCCTAAATCTCTTAAACTCTATGTTTTTCATGGGATACTTCTTAAATAATTATGTTTTAAAAATTTCAATATCGCTAATAACGTTAGTGTACTTTGAACTAAAAATTTATTGAAAAAGTATATGGAGGGGAATGAACCTATGATTCATTGGCTACTTCGGATAATATAAAAAGAAACTTTTTGATATTTCTAATAAATGAAATAATAACCACATATTTTACTATATGCACGATGTTTACTGTGTCTACGATGTAACTTGCCAATAAACGGAATCTTCCTTGAAGGCCAAACCATCCTTGAAAACCACGAGGATAACCAATAAACGTCCAACATAAAAACCCTTGAAGTATCAATCAGGGAAAGGTTGGGAAAGAAGCCTCAGCTCAAGATATTTGTGGAATCTTGGTGTACGTCGGAATAAACATGTGCCCCGTCCGAAAGCTATCAGATGGAATACATCTGTTATGGGCGGGTCTCTCTCTTTTTAGTAGCGTTCCGACCCTACCGCCCATCCTAACATCATATCCCTGCTTTAGTCTTTATTTATTTCAATACATAAAAAAAAAACAGGTAGTTTTTTTTTATTAACATAATAAGTCCTATTTATTTTTTTTAATTGTATTTATATTACTAATAATTGTCCCGTAAATAAGTTAAATATGTCCCGTTGGAATAAAGTGTATAGGATTACGCATTGTGAAACTGAATGTCCAGATATGCCAATTTGATTATAAGTTATGAGTAACTCGTGATCCTCCAAGATAATTCACAAAAAATTGGAATTTGATTTAAACTAAGTCCTCAATTAGCTGAATGACAGTTCAAAAATAACAATTAATTTTCAAATTTGTACATCGGTGGTAAAGGACTCCGTTTTACATTTTTTTATTTGTTCGAGGAGCAAATTTTCCACAACATTAAACTATCAAAATTTGTCTATTAGTTAATAAATTACTTAATAAAAAATAGACATGGTTTCCTTTTCCTCCGGGGCACACAAAAAACGACTCACTTCCATAAACGACGATCATTTTAATATAAAATATTAAGGCCAATTGACACCAAATAGGACTAAAATTACAGGCTCCGACATTATTATAAACTATATAAACATATGTTTACAGCTGAGATTTCCATCAATGCCAGAAGAAGATGAGAGATCATCCGTGAATTTGCTGGAATCAAGTGCGGTGCGGAAAACGGTGCTTCTGTGTCATTATCTAAGCTGCTTATTGTCATAATTTCTGTGACATGCGACTTGCATGACATTTTAATTTGCATTAAAAATAAATACATATTGTGTCCAACATATATTTTAAAAAAAATTGCTATTCCTCACAGAGTACATAGTTACGGTCCTTCTTCACATGATATGATTTATAAAACATATCACAAATTTCATAAAAAAGTTGGTAAAAATGTTTCACTATTCAAAAATGCTGTTTGCTCATTTAAATTAGCAAACTATATTAGCAGATAAAAGGAATAACAGTTTAAGAAAAGAGAATGCAGTAATGTATCCATCCTAAATAAGCAGTTCAGGTCAAAAACAAAATACAGCTAAAATAATCTTAATGATACTTTGAATAAGAAGTTTGTAACGCCGATAATTTAACATTCAATACCAGCTATTAATTTTTTACAACATGACACATTTAAAATGCCAACTTAAAATGGGCTAGAACTATCATTTTTCAATTTAAATCTCTGCTAAAAACTGTTAAGTATAAAATAATAATGTAAATTACATTTTCATGTCAGAAACTTTTCCAAAATATGCTTATCCTGTGTTTCACTGTTTCATATTTATGGAAACTTTCTATACACTAATGTTGACATTAACAATGAGTAAACGGGTTTTTCCAAATTCCTAATACATTTTCTGTCCACATGATTAAATCTCTTTTTCGTTACCTTCTTTTCCTCGAGTTAATTTAGTAAAAGTTAATTTTGGATTATCCTTGAATAAGCTGAACGAACCCAATCATCACGAAGCCATAGGCGGTTAACCATCGCAACTCCTTTGAGGTTTATGTTGCATAAGAAATCAGTCCAGGGACATTATGCCAGGGCTATTGCCAGGAGGAGGATTTGTGAAACGTGTGTCAAAACTGTTATAGAACAAATTATTAAATACACTTTATTAATTTATCAATTAATTTATACAGTATATTTTGTTGTAAAAATTGTAGCCGAATTTTCACGCTTACCAACAAAACTTTATTTATTCTAGCTAGAAGTTTTTCTTATTAGCATGCCAAGAGGATTGGCGTCAGGGAAATAATTATGAATTCGTGTGGGCGTGGGCCAGAATGTGGGGGACAGAATTGTGTAGTTTGTATTCAATAGTAAGGAGAAATTCCTGGATATAAATCCTGAGTATTGTTAAAGGATTGGTCTTAATTTATATTATGTGTATTAATTACTTGTAAATCGCCAATTATTACTTTAAAAACCGTAAAGCTTTCACAACCTTTATTTTTCTGTATGTATTTCATTGGGTTGGGTTGTACAAGCTATGCAATTGTATAACATAATTTTAGATAGCATACTTGCCAACATACCAAAAACAATATTGAATTGTAGTTGCAAAATATACTATATTAGATTGGTAGGGCAATGAATAACAACATAAAAAACTACAAAATGTCTGAACACATCACTTATACCTTCCTTTTGAACATTATTTATAAACATAATTATAATTTACATGCGGTTCATATTGAGAGGTAATAATAATGAAAGATTTCTTTAAGAAATTAAATATCTTATATTGCACCGGGTACAATTTAAGATTAATGCGATATGATTATAGTTTTCAACAGTTATTATTTAAATTATAATTTATAGTACATTGGTTTACCTGCTTACTATTCGGGATGTTGAAATATTCACAATTTCAAACAATTACAATTACCAATAATTTGTCCTCAATTTTATATTATATAGACCATACCATGCGATTCAGATAATCCTTGTAAACAGGACAGATATAGACTTATTTAAGACATTTTGACTAACCACTAATCATGAATTATTTAACAAACTCAAGATGTATTCCCCCGCTCCCTCTAAGCCCCTGAGGTGGTTGTAATGATAGGGGAAATGGGTAATGGGTGGGATGGTATCCCTTGTACTGCATAGGATGCATTTTAAGGTGGTGATGTGGAGTTAGAATTTAGATAATGGGGATTTTATTTTGGTGACATTGTTCAAAATGTTTTTTGCTTCAGTCCAGTTTATTGTCTTCAGTTTAGATTGAGGATTTTTAAGTGAGTTTGGCCACCTTTTTGGACGTATTGTTAGAATCAGTGTCGTAAAAAGTGGATTCGTTGATCACCGAAGGCCATCACAAACAAAGTTTATGACCTGCTAAACACCTGATAAAAGTCCTGCATATGATTTTTTTTTTATTGATATTTTTAAATTCCGTCTCTATCGGTAGTTCGATGGTTTTGTAAAGTAAATCTGGTTTTGTCCTTTGTAATCATCGGCGCTCCATGGAGAAGTGCTGGTTATAAATAAAACGCTTTCCTAAATCATTAATTTGAGAGGAAAAATAGATTTGGTGATATCACCTGATGGTTTGTTTTATAATGCTTGATCTTCGTTAATCAGATATTTTTCTGGCATTGGAAGAATGATGTATGGTGCTTGTGTTATTATCAAATTATTGTGTAAGATAGGAGTTACCGCTTTAATTTTTTCACATTACTGACTTAGTGCAAGATCGTTAGCATTAAACTGGGTGTTACGCAATTGTTTACATCGCAAATCGAGCGCATGTACCTCAACCATATAACAAGGAAAACATGAGATCACAATATTAACAGGAAATAACAATTTTCAAGAAAATTTATTTGATTCAAGTCAGTAAGGAACGAACGGTGAGCTGGCTAACGTACGCTTAGGTCGTGTTTCAGAATTAAATTAGAAAAAAAAGGATAATGAAGCAGGAAATCTCAACCGCCGCGTATTATGTAAGATACCAATGATATCATTGGAACACAGACCTTTCTCGTGTGCCGCGAGTTGCGCAGGTGCCCGTCCTTAATAGCGAGTCAGTTAAAGGCTACTATAAAACGATAGGTATAATGCAACGGCGAGCCATGCAGGTGCACTCTACTGTTATGGCCTGCATTATGGTGCATTACTCACAGCTGTTTCAAAATGCAGCTTCCATTATTCCGTCTACGCATCCTGGCAAAATGTATTGTTTAAATGCATTATGTAGCATGCAAAACAAATTTTGTTTCTACTTTATTTAGGGCTGGAAAATAACTCTCAGAATTTCTGAAATAAACGTTACACATTCCCTTTCTACCACTCTGAAGGCCAACTGCTTTTATGCAACTTAACCACAAATCTTTATATAGTATTTTCAAACCAATGGTCCCGCAAATACCACTCGATGTTTTTTTGAGAGATAGTGTTGTTTAAATCAGTCAACTGTTAACATTTTTTTTTTTTTTTTTTTAGTACTATTACATACAATATATAACCGTTAAATAAAATATTCTAATAATGAAAATATTTGATATTTTTACCGATAGTAAAAAAGTTAACTTATTTCAATGTAGTGTAATGTAAAATGTTCTATAATCCTTTCATTGACACCTTCATTCTATAGCGTTAAAGGAACCTTGATGCAGTCCGCTCTTAAGTGCACGAACAAGGTGACCGCATTAACATAACCTGTTCACATGTTGCGTAACGCTGTTAATACCGTTTATATCAATTAGATTTATAAAGTGTACATGTTTTATTATTTATGAATAGGTTTGGTCACGTTGCTTTTGTAACTGTTACAGTTAAAGAAACATATCAGTATTTTTATTGGATATCTGTATTTATCAAATAGTACAGAGGCTCTTTGTAACAAAAGATGAAAAAAAAAAAAATCCAACAGAATTTTAACAACCAGTTACCACACTTATACTTTCCTTTTTCCGCACTGCTACAAATAATTTCTCCTTTTAACAAGAAGTGTTGGTTTGTCATGAATGGTTTCTTCATCTTATCGTAACCTATAACTTTTTTATATATAAAAAAGTATAGAAATGTGGCATTTTCTCATTAAATTAATTATTTTAATGAAGTACTAAAAGCTCATTAATTACATACCTATTTGTTTTCATCTTGAATCTTAAGATAGTTTGATCACGAAATCGAGAAAAAAAGTGGCCAATAAAAATATTGGGCCGTTTTGGACTATATAACCTGGTTATTTGACATGTTGGAAATTGTCACGCCCAACGGTCCAATAGTTTTGTAGGAAATATTTCTATATAATTTCTGATCGAACTATCCTAACATTCAGTTGGGAATCATATGGGTGTTCATAAGGTTTTCGTACATCATTAAATAGATCAACTTTACCGACCTCCTGATAGAAAACGCCCTTTTTCTATTTTTCTATTCTATTGAAAATTTCAGATAATTTCCATAAATAAGTTGTAGATAATGATAAGATGATATCATTCAAGAAGTTGTACTGACGTACATAAACATTGATATTTAACATACTAATCTGTATACGATGATTTTTTTAAACAATTAAAAGTTAGATAGAAAACGTTTCTATTTTTCAGAAAAGTTAGATAGAAACTTTTCTATTTTTCAATATTTTAATTTTACTATTTATTTTCATTTCTTATATAACTTCATATTCCTTTTTTCTGTTTTACATTTTATTCTAAGATTACTATTTTAATACTTGTCACATTTTTTATTATGTTTACTTCATCATTCTAAACTTTGTAACGGTTATTATTATTTATCTCTTTGTTCTTACTATTGTCATTATTCTACCCACTCCATTTTACTTTATTTTTTTTTACTTATATTATTGGTGTTTTTTCATACCTTGTTGCCTGGTTCTTTTTTTAGCCCTGATGAAGGGCTGAACTTCAGGTCGAAACGTTGGCAAATGTCAAAATAAGTATTATTATTTATTTTTCTCTTCTTATTTGTGGCTGAGCACCCCTACCATTCTTCTCTTCATTAAATAATAGATGTTCTTTCTCTCCCGTAATTTTTTTATGACTTTCTTTCACACACGCATATATATAGAGAAAAGATAATGAGAGTATTAATTAAAAGAAAGGATTTATGAGACGTCTCCAAAGCTGTAGTCTAAAAACTAACTCTATCAAAGACAGATAATAATAATAATATCTTTTGTAATATCCTTGAGTGAAAGCTGTTTTATATTGATAAGGCAGGGACACTTCCTTTCGGATCTGGCCCATATCCAACATTTCAGATGACTCAAACTGCACAGAGCCATTTCGGCCGCTCCCCCATCTTCATGCTGTCTGTAAATAAACTGAATCCTTTTTGTCGTGTCCCTTTACAGCTATTGGTTTTTTTTTTCTATCTATAAACCGCGCAACTAGCTCATATAACCTTAACGATCAATGAACTCTTATTTATTTTAAATAACAAATAAATTAGAAAGCGAAAGTAATTAATAATCTAATCTCTCTCACACTTTCTCCCATAATTTAAATCTGACGAATAATGCGCAATTTTGGATTTATTTAATCAAAATTCTCAACTTCTAAA